CATACATTTTAATTTTATCCTCCTGAAGTTCCCTGCCTCTTTATCCTCCTGAAGCTCCCTCCCTCTTTATCCTCCTGAAGCTCCCTCCTTCTTTATCCTCCTGAAGCTTCCTCTCTCATACATTTTAATTTTATCCTCCTGAAGTTCCCTGCCTCTTTATCCTCCTGAAGCTCCCTCCCTTCTTTATCCTCCTAAAGCTCCCTCTGTACCTCTGTAGTTCAGAAGGCAGACTCTGTGAAATGTGTGATGTGTGGGGAATTTCACAAAGTTTCCAAACTTCAAGATTGTTCAGATTAACAGGAATAGGCTGGAAATAATGTAAAGGACAAGGATACGTTTACCTTTGGGAACATGTTACATGTTTCAACCCCCCCCCCTCATTACAGCAGTATGGGAAGTAGTACCTGGGTGTAACTGGAGCAGTGGCTGAGGACACCTTCTGTGAACTCTGGACTCCTGGGACAGGTCGAGCCTACAGATGCCGCTCCCAATTCCATTTACGGCATGGTGACTCCTTTTATATGGCTCTGGGCTTTGAGCGGCACCATAAGCTTTCTTCGAGAAGTACCTGCTGTCACTTTTTGAAAAGAGCTCCGCCCACACGGCCGTATCCTTCATTCATAGAGTTCTGTGAATTAATCAACTACAAGTACTGACAGCCTTTGCAGCTGTCGGGTTGTAGTTCTCAATAAGCTACCATGGCACTGTTGAGCATTCTATTAGTTAATTAATTCTTCCTGTGAGAGTGTAACTGTCTGCCTATACATAGCTTACACTGACTGTCTGCAGGAGTTCTGCTGATCATGGGTGCAATGCCTTCTAGGCTCCTACAAAAAAAAATTGCAAATGCACATTTTTTTAGCTGCAAAAAATGTGCATTTATTATTTTTTTAAAAGGTGAACTAATCCTTAACTTTAAATACAATGTGGAAATGAATATGATTTTAAAAGTACACTTTAAAGTGGTAGGACACTGCAAAAAAAAAAACAAAATAATCTTCTCCCTGCAAGTTATGAGCACACTGTGCTAGTATGCATCGCATTATGAAAAACTTACCTGAAAACGAAGCCCTCCAGCAGAGTGCTGTCACTGCTCCCCAGGGCTTTCATCTTCACCAAGTCTTCTTTCCAGGTTCCCAGGCTGACATTGTTTGACTGGCTGAGCCACAATGACTTCACTCCCACGCATGCGCACGGGAGTCTCAGCTGTGGCATGGCTTTCTCAATGGACAGCATGCCGTCCATGGAGAGTACAATGCGCATGAGCCATTGGCATAACTGGAGCTACTAAAGTACGGTATGGTGAACGTTTAGAATAGATTTACTGTACGTACAAGTAATCCTTATTATAGGCTTACCTGTAGGTATAAACAAACAAGACTTTACCACCACTATAACATGTGCTGCATTAAGTTAGTTCATTCGTTCTGAATGGGCTACCAACACAGAGGAACATACCTAAACTCATTTTTTTTTCCTGCAACAGCACATTGAGGATGCCATTCACAATGAATGTGTTGACGCATGTTGTAGCAATGTGTGTTACCGCAACACAATAGTCTAAATGAGCCCTAAAATTAATTTATAAACAGTTTTGGGGAAAATATCAGGAACAAAGGGAAACAAAACTACAAAAGCGGAGCGTCTCTTAGATTGTAAGCTCCAAGGAGCAGGGCCCTCCTAACCCTCTTGTATTGAACTGTATTGTTGCAGTATAGTCTCCCTTTATTAAGTAAAGCACTGAGCAAACTGTTGATGCTATATAAATCCTGGATAACAACAATAATCTTATAGCAGCAAATTAGAATTCAGATAAAAGAGAATTAACATTTGTGCTAATTAATTTTCTGCTCCCACTTATTCTCCCGATTTTCTCATGAGTATGGAGCACAGGAAGGGAAACACCGAATTCTTCATGGGAGAAAAACTTTCTTCTGTTTTCAAAATGTTAAATGGTCAGTATTGACCTTCAGGTAAGGAGGATGGCAACTACACACTACTACTGAACTTTATTACCTATTTCACTCTCCACACTTCAAACAGATCATTTTTATCAGGCTTATGAAGGTTATCACTTTATGTGTAAACAGAAAACTCCTCTATTTATAGGCACCCATGAGAGTGGTTGTAAAGCTTAATGCATTCTCTGCATTAAAGGTTAAAAAACTTTTAGGTGCAGCTCCCTCTGCTCTCCCCTCCCCCGAATACTTACCTAATCCTGATATCAGTCCAGCGCCGTGCGCAAGTGAAGCGGCCCTGCTCTCTCTCCCTCCTCACTGGACTCAGTGAAAGCAGAGGGAGCCATTGGCTCCTGCTGCTGTCAATCAAATAGATGGACAAAAGAACGAAGGGACTGAGCACGCTGAGTACCCCCCAGCAAGCGGCTTGCTAAGAGGGCACTCAAAGGCAGGAGAAGCCAGGAGCTCCAGCGGGGGACCCCAAAAAAGGAGGATTGGGGCTTGTGGAAAACTACTGCATAGTTGGTAAGTATAACACGTTTGTTATTAAAAAAACTAAAAATGCGACTTTGTATCTCTTTTAATACTATCAGTGGAAGTGTTGATATATATTTTACTGCAGCAAGGAGAAATTTACACATGCACATAACCTAACAAATTAAATTTTCTCAATAAATGCATAAACACAATGTGCTGCAAAATATTCTCTGTCCAAAGGACATGTTCCTATTATTTAACATCGCTACTTGCGCAAGGCATTCTTGGATGAAAACAAGCTGAACGTCAGGAAAACAACTATACTCAAAGCTGAAATACATATTCTTAATTTTACCTTCCAAAAGGTTTGTAAATCAGCTAGTCTCCTAACCAAGAGACCACTGCCAGAAAGCATAGCCAGGATAGTGAGCACACCTTTCTCCTAAACGATATCCTTATTCTCCAAAAACAATCCATACACATCTGCTATTTAATGGCCCAGGAAACTTCGTTCTCATGAAATTGTTTCTCGAACCTCTCCTTTACACTCTCACTTCTGTTTGCTTGGGACTTGCAGTGAATGTTAGTTGTGGTCATCTGCTATGCTCTATGCATACTACAAATCCCACAGTTTATAGTTCATACTTAATCTCAGGAGAGAGCAAGATAAGGTGGCTACAATCCATCTTACAGTGGGACCATGGAGAACAAATGTAGTCGTCCTCGAACAGGAAGTCACAGCAAAAATTTAAAAAAAAAAGAATTTGGTTGGAGATTTGGAGGAGGCTGAAAGCAATGGAAGGAACACAGCATTTAGTGTCACTTTAGGAAATAACACACGGCCTGCTGCACCTGATGGTTGCAAAATGAAAAAGCAACACACTGATAAAGTCATCATTCTACACTTTCCAGTCAGCAAATTCTGAGACTGACACTCAGTGAAGGGCAGTCAAGCCTGACAGTCTCCCGGTGCTGCCCCTCTCTTTCCCAGTTTGTCTTGTATTGTAACAGTATATGGACCAATCTACAAGCTCGTGCAGACAAAACCGAAAATATTTTATTATAAAACAGAGCTGAAGCATAGGCCCAGCAGTGTACACACACTCTCATACAAAAAATCAAACATATGAATGCAGTTTAAGAGTTGGGAATATTGTTTTCCTCTCTTATATAACATGTGACCATAGCTGCATACTGATAGGCAGCTGAAGAGGGGAATGGAACAGTTTACTGGCAGGTATTTGGGCCCATGCCCACATGAGATGAGCTAGTAACTGCCCAGCCACAGTAAAAATATTTGAAGCCTGTGGATTGTTTGTCTGTGCTGGCTCTCTGCCGGCTGCCGCATAAGGAAAACCACAGAAGAAAACTGAAACACTGCCCTGCTTGCTTAAGGTGACAGTATAATCTGCTTACATTTCACTGTCCCCAGTCCCCCCCGCTCCCACCCCCAATCAACACGTTTATGAAATGTTTAAAACCTTTCCAATTTCAGTACAAAGCTTATTTTATGTCATCGCTGGATCTCTGTGCTTCTCTATACACTGCAGGCAGATAATGGATGGTGGGAGGGGCCAGTAGGGGGCTGCAGAAATGTCCTAAAAACATCTTGGCACTCTTCTCAAAAGCAATCAGCATTGATGCGAGCAGTGGACTGGCTTTTAGAAGTTATGTAAATATCAAAATGCCTTGATTGGTGGCTGTCAACCTGGAGGAGTGTATGTTCCTAGGTAGGCTGTATTTGTATTCATCCAGCACAGGTAACGTCCACATGCGGTGTTGAGTCTTCATGACTGAAAGAACTGAAATCCAATGAATGAAAGCGGTGGGCCAGGGACAGCAGGTTTGGGGGGGGAAGCGCTAATTGACAATGGATGGTTTCCAGCCAGGAAATGATGTTTTTTTTTAAACTGCTTTTCTCCTGTAAGGAGAAAAGGCATCCATAGGAGCACAGTGAGCATGAAGCCAAAAGAAGTTGTACAGCTGTGCAAGAATAAATGTAAGGCAAGGGTTCAGATTTAAATAGACTCAATGTTGCTCTGCCTAACATAACTAAACGAGGATTCAGAAAAAATATTGCTGCCCAAAACTTTATTTTTGGCACTTCCTTTACAAACTCCATAGCTGCCTCATCAAAGAAACCACTGCATTATGAATAGATTTTAATTATCAGGCAATGTGAATTCATACCAGTGCTAAAGCTAAAACCACATGTCTCTGGCTAAAAGGACACTGTGGCTATTTTAGGTCATTAGTGCCTGCACATAGGCCACTGAGAGAAATATTACCTTCTAAAAATGCAAGCCGATGACCTTTTTCATATTTAGTCTTAAAGATACTAAACAATTTTGAATATAGGGACTGTTGATCAGGAGCGGACTGACCATTTGATCACTCAGGCACTGCCCGAGGGCCCGGGGTCAGTAGGGGGCCCCATGAGATTCCCCTGGTACCTTTTTTGGGTGTGGTTTGAGTGTGGGTGAGGACACAGGGGCCCCATGATCCCCTATTGCGCAGAGGCCCCATGGGTTGTCTGTCCACCCCTGCTGTTCATATATTTCTGACTTTCATTATTTCTATATATGCTCTAAATCAGCATCTCAGAACGTACTGAAGCCAGTGTGTCAGCATAACAGCCAGACAAATAGTATTTTCAGAATTAGATCATAAAATGGCAGACCCCATATTTTGCTTGTGACAGGTTTGTTTCAAAGCAGAACTCCAACCAATATAACAAAATAAAAACTAATAGCCCATTAAAAGATAAAATAACAAAACTTGTGTTGGCTGCAATAGCCAGCTTTAATCCAGCCTCATTCAATCCACTTCTAAGCCCAGGATATCCTGGACCTGCCCCAGCCTGTGACTGGACAGTAAAAGTAGATGCAATACAATGAGGAGCTCACTCTGCTTTCTCCTCTAATCAGTATGCTTTTTGCATGCACATGAACTCATTGACTGCTTAAAAAAAACAAAAATTAATGATATACAGTTAGGTCCATATATATTTGGTCACAGGCACAATCTTAGATTTTTTCAGGTATTTACCAAAACATATTCGAGCTATAGTTATGTAATGGATATGGGCTGAAAGTGCACACTCTCAGGTTTAATTTCAGGTATGTACATCCAAATTGGAGGAAGGGTTTAGGGATTACAACTCTTAAGAGTAGCCATCCCCACTTTTTCAAGGGACCAAAAGTAATTGGACAATTGAATGAAAAGCTGTTTCATGGCCAGGTGTGGGCTACTCATTCGTTAGTTCTTCATCAATTAAGCAGGTAGAAGCTCTGGAGTTGATTCTAATGCAAGCCATAGATGGGTCGAAAATCGGCTGATTTTTCAGCCGAAAAAAAAAAAAAAAAATCGGCCGATTTTCGCACCGTTAATGGGTTAATTGGTCGGCCTTTTTTCTGGATTTTGGCACATTTTTGGAAAGTTGGAAAAAAAATCAGCCAATTTTTGCCGATTGGCTGATTTTCGCGGCAATGATGGGCAAATCGGCCGATCTTTTTACCGATAAAAAAATCAGCGCATGAGCTGTGACCTGCAAGAAAAAGAAGAAAAAGAAGAAGAAAAAGAAGAGGAAAAGAAAAAGAAGAAGAAAAAGAAGAAAAGAAAAAAGAAGAAGAAAAAGAAAAAGAGGAAGAAAAAAAGAAAAAGAAAAAAAAAAAAGAGAAAGAAGAAAAAAGAAAAAGAAGAAGAAAAAAAGAAAAAGAAGAAGAAAAAGAAGAAGTAGAAAAAAAGAAGAAGAAGATGAAGAAAAGAAAGAAGAAGAATTCCAGTCCGCTATTATATTTGACATGAAAAAGTATTGCAGTTGCAACATTGTATCTATTTGTATCTGAATAAAAACATCTGTATCCGAAATGGATACAAATAGATACAATGTTGCAACCGCTATACTTTTTAATGTCTCTGCAGGGACAGAAGTAATTAAATGCCAGCTGTAGACGGGATGAAAATCGGCCGATTTTTTTTTTTACCATTGGTGGTAACTTCAGCCTATTGAATGACCGACTTCTCGTTTTTTTGGTAAAGAAAAACGGCCGGTTTTCTACCTATCTATAGCCTGCATAAGTGTGTTATTTGCATTTGGAATCTATTGTTGTGAACCTACATCATGTGTTCAAAGGAGCTGTCCATGCAAGTGAAACAGGCCATTGAAAAATTAAACAAATCCATCAGAGAGATAGCGGCAACATTAGGAGTGGCCAAATCAACAGTTTGGTACATTCTGAGAAAAGAAGAACGCACTGGTGAGCTCAGCAACATAAAAAAGCATGGACATCCACGGAACACAACAGTGGTGGATAATTGCAGGATCCTCTCTATGGTAAAGAAAAACCCATTCACAACATCCAGACAAGTGAAGGACACTCTCCAGGAGGTGGGCGTATCATTGTCAAAGTCTACAATAAAGAGAAGACTTCATGAGAGCAAATACAGAGGGTTCACCACAAGGTGCAAACCATTCATAAGCCTGAAGAATAGAAAAGCCAGATTAGACTTTGCCAAAAAACATCTACAAAAGCCAGACTAGTTCTGGAAAAGCATTCTCTGGATGGGTGAAACTAAGATAAATCTGTACCAGAATGACGGGAAGAAAAAAGTGTGGAGAAGGCTTGAAACAGCTCATGATCCAAAGCACACAACGTCATCTGTAAAATTGAAACTGAGAGTGTGCACTTTCAGCCCATATCCATTATATAACTCTAGCTTGAATATGTTTTGGTAAATACTTGAAAAAAACTAAAATTGTGCCTGTGTCCAAATATATATGGACCTAACTGTATATACACAGATCAGCCATACCTATGACTACAGACAATTTAAGTGAATGACATTGATTATCTCATTACAATGGCATCTGAAAGTCAGTCTGCTATGTTAGGCAGTAAGTAAACAGGTCATCCCTGAAGTTAATATGTTGAAAGCAGTTTGTTGTGTATGGGCCTGTATAGCCACAGATCGGTCAGGGTGGCCATGCCGACCCGTGTCCAAAGCCAGAAGTGCCTACACTGGGCACGTGAACCGCAGACTGGACCTCAGAGCAATAGAAGAAAGTGGCCTGGTCTGATGAATCCCATTTTTTTGGTTGACGGCGAGGTACGTGCATGCTGCTTACCTGGGGAAAAGATTACACCAGGTTGCAGTGTGGAAAGAAGTCAAGCCGGGGAGGCAGTGTGATGCTTTGGGCAATGTTCCCCTGGAAAACCTTGCGTCTCGCCATTCATGTGGATGCTACTTTGACATGTACCACGTGACTAAACATTGTTACTGACCAAGTACACCCCTTCGTGGAAACGGTATTCTCTGATGGCGGAGGCTCTTTAAGCAGAATAAAGTGTCCTGCTACAAAAATGGTTCCAGGATGTTTAAAGAACACAACAATAAGTATAAGGTGTTGACTTGGCTCCAAATACTCCAGATCACAATCTAATCAAGCACCTGTGGAACGTGCTGGAAAAACAACTCCAATCCATGGAGGCCCCACCTTGCAACTTGTAGGATTTCAAGGATCTACTACTGATGGCTTGGTGCTATATACCACAGCTTACCTTCGAACATCTAGTGGTGTCCATACTCGAACAGGTCTGGGCTGTTTTGGCAACAAAATGGGGACTCAATATTAGGTGGGTGGGCATACATTTATGGCTGATTAGTGTGTATTAATAATTACAGAGCTGCATTCATTTGACATTATATATCTGCTTAGCGTTCAGCTTTAAAGAATACCTCATATGGCCCTGTCAATAGAAAAACATATTCCAGGCAGAAGCACCTTAAGAACGTGCCGAATATTTCCTTTATCTGAACAGCTCTGGACAGCAGCATTGTCAGTCTTGGCAGAGGGTAGTGTTAAGACTTTAGATGGACTTTACTAACAAACTAAAGCCAAACTCCAGCTAACACCTTTTAAGTAGCTACAGAAACCATTTTTTTTCCTTTTGGGATGAAGGTTTTACATAAGAGAATAAAATATGTTAATGTTAAATGGTTTGTCTCAACCCTCTAAGGCTGTTTTCACAGTGATCTTCAGCACCAAATATGCACCCAAAAACACACCTCCCTATTGAAAGCAATAGAAAGCACAGCAAAAAACACAAAAAAACACACCAGCATTGTGTTTTTGGTGTGGTTTTTGAGTCACATGTCCTTTAAAAAACGCACCAAAACACAGTAAAATCGCTGCACAAATGCAATGAAAATGCATGTGTTTTTGCCATGCTTTTACCGCGTTTGTGGTGCGTTTTTTTTTAAACGACATGTGACTCAAAAACCACACCAAAAACACAATGCTGGTGTGTTTTTGCCATGCTTTCTACTGATTTCAATAGGGAGCTGCATTTTTGGTGCATATTTGGTGCTGAAATACACTATATTGCCAAACATATTGGGGCACCCCTCCACATCATTGGATTCAGGTGTTCCAATCACCTCCATGGCCACAGGTGTATATAATCAAGCACCTAGGCATGCAGACTGCTTCTACAAACATTTGTGAAAGATTGGGTCGCTCTCAAGAGATCAGTGAATTCAAGCATGGTACCTTGATAGGTTGCCATTTGTGCAATATAGTGAATTATAAATATTTGCTTTAAGTGGTCTCATCCAATATCATCATATATACTTTAAGCCAGGTACATATGTATCGAAATTCAGCTCGTTCCAGCTGAACCCTCAAAATTTCGATCAGTGTGTAGCCCAATCTTTTCAACAAAAGCCAATTGTTAGACCGTTACTGTCCTGCTAGAAGACCAGCATTTGATCAGCAGCTGCAGCCAATGGCTGCAGTACTGATCAGTGTATTCTAAGAGAGGAGGAGCCCCGCTGTTAGAATACAATAGCGCAGTGGGGAGATCCCTGCATCCACATTGCTTGTGTGCATGCAAGAATCTTAGGTTTTTTGTTTTTGTTCAACCCGCTGGTTGAACGAAAAAAAAACTCAGTGTGTGTCCAGCTTTATAATTATTCAACCTTCACAACGCTATCCAAATTAAAAATATTTTGTGAATGAGCACTACGGGAATTTGGTGGGTGCTTTGCAATAGTCCAAACAGCCTCTGCAAGACTGTTCAGGCAGTGTGAGCAATCCCAAGATATAACCCATTATAGGAGAACTGTACCCTGATACAGTACTAACATTAAAGCCAACAGCACCTGATCTCTGGCTACCAGAAAATTGAGGGTATTGCAAGTCAATAGAGACTGCACAGAGACAAACATGAAAGCTGCCATTGGTACTCATTCCTTTTAGAAATGCTGATTGCCTGGTAATGAGTTTTTATCTGCCCATTACACATACGGCGTCTGTTTCCTGGTTAGTGGTACTATACAATGTGGTGTCATTCTGATCCTGGCATCTCACTACGAGTCTTTTAGACAAGCCCTGCCAGAATGAAAACAAACAACTATCAGCAGTCCCTAAAGACATTAAACCCTCACAATGCTACTAGAAGCCAGGACCTGCACAACCTAGACAAGAAACATAAGGATTCTATAAACATCTATTTTTTTTTCCACAAAAAGGCTTGTGGTTTGTCTACAATTACACTGTGGTTTATGGAGGTGGTTAGTTTAG